ACAGGCAAGCGGGCCCTCCCGGCGCCAGGCTGCTGGGCTGTCCTCCGGCGCGCTGTCGCGCAGGGCCACACAGGGAGCTGGCACGTCCCCGGGGCTCGGTGGAGGATCCATCGGCACCCACCGGGGTGCTCACGAAGCGGTAGTCGTAGGTCAGAGGCTCCGGGACTGCGGGGCGCGGCTGCGGCACGGAAGGCTGCGGGGCTGGGGCAGGGTCACCGAGTGCGGGCAGCTCGCGCACGTACTGCGCGGGGAGGTAGAAGGGGCGACCCCCAGGCTCGCGCCGCACGTGCCACCAGTGCTCGGTACTGCGGCGCAGCAGTCGATAACGCTCGTTGGGCTGGATGGCGATACGGCGCCCGTCTTTGCCGGTGTACTCGAAGGGGTGCTCCACCAGCACGTACACGTCCCCTTCGACGTCTGCCGCCATCGCGGCCACCGCGCTTTTTTGCGGGCAACAAGAAAAGGAGCTGCCGAAGTCAGGACCGCGCAGCCGAGAAGAGCACCGCGCCTGCAGCTCAAAGAAAAGGGTTCGAGTCCCTCTCCTGCCCTTGCCCAGTGCATTCGGGCTTCAGTTTTTCCATCTCTGAAATGGGGATTTGGATAAAATCATCTCCAAAGCTCCCGATCTTAAGGCTCCATTCTGTGACGTTGATTGTGAGATGTGGGTCTCGCTGCGATCCCGTGGTGAGGAAATTGAGGATGATAGGAGTTCAACTTTACTCTCCAGGGAACCTTGGCTCAAAGACCTGCAGGGACTGCAAGGTAGATAGAACATTTGCCTGAAGGTTGGTTGAACCTCGTTTTTCGGGTCGCAAATTGGGAATTAAGGCCCCTTTCCCGCCGCTCCTCCGTCCCCGTCCCGCCCCACCCCAACGCCTCCAGCCTGCTGGGAATCCGTGAAGAGCCCTAAAGTGCCCCCTCCCTTTAGGAGTCTGCACTCCGGGAGAGCGAGGTAACTAGCTCTGGGGTGCAGGCTATGGGGCAGCCCCAAGTGGCTCTTAGGGGCGTCCCTGCCTTACTTAGCTCCGGGACTTTGACGTAGGGGCTTGGACAGCTAAGGCTGGAGAACCGGTTCTCTGGGTTTCTCTTTCCTTTCTCAGTGGCTTCGCCACACACGTGAATGAGGAGTCCGGCCCGCCCATCCGGGCCAGCACCGCCCCCTGCTCTCCAGCTCCCAAAGCTTCCTGGTGTGCGCACCTGCGTAGGATCCCTACCCTGCCTGCCTGCCTGGGAGAGTAGCTCCTACGGAATGCATTGCGATAGTGTCACCAGGATCCCCTAAAGTTCTTTGGAGGAATCATCATAACGCCCCACCCACCCAATGCCTGTTCAGTGTATGGGGAAAGAGGGACGATCCCAACTTGTGTGCCTTCAAAAAAGTGAAGCCGGTGGCCTACTCCGGAAGTACTGGTCACTCCAAAACCCTACTCCGTTTACTGCTCTACAGGATGGCCTGGGGGCCAGCAGCGGGGAGTCCACCCTCTTGCTGAGGTTGACTTCATGTTTTCAAGAATTCCTTGTAGGGGGAAAGGGTGCAGACTGAGTCAGTGAGCACCCGGAGCCTGAGAGGCGGTGTCACGCTAGACCAGAGCCTGGCGAGCAAATCCTGGGAGAGTGAACACTCGGTTTACGCCCCCTTCCCTAGGACCCCAATCACACACTCACGTTAGCTGGGAGGGTCTCAGGCTGCCCATGGACTGAATGGGCGGGGCTGGCGGAGGGTTGCAGGTGAGGTCTCTACCATCACTGTGGGCGGGATTTCCAAGGGATGAGACCGAAGAAACAGCGCAGAACAGAGCTGACACAGAGAGGAGAGGCGGAGACCCACACTCAGCAGGGTTGTCCCCAGTCCCCAATACAGCTTGTCTGGGAGGGTGAGGAGGAGCCATAATGTCTGTGCCGGGGCCCATGGGAGAACTGAGACTGGGTCTCCAGGAAAAAAAAAAAGGCACGAGGTAGGGGGTTGCGTGGAAGAGGTGCTGACGGGTAGTGAGCGGAGCTTAAGGGTCAATAGGTCCTGCTTCTCCCCTCCACCCCCGGAGGGATTTGCTGCCCCCGAGGCCCTGCGTTTCGCGGGCGCGATGCTCTGGGAATGCCCGGCTGGAGATGGTTGTCTGGTCCCTGCATGCACATTCTGAGCGAGGTCATTTGCACCCTAAATCACGAACTGCGAGCCTTTTGCAGCTAGACCGAGAGCACTATCCATTCCTAGTGCACCTCCGCCCTCTCAGGGCGCAGCCCGTCCGGGCCTGGAAAAACTAGAGTCCCCTTGCAGGGACGCTCACAGGAGCTCAGTGTCTCGAGTTGTGTGGCAAGGGGACCTACGCCTCAGATCCTTCCCTTATCCGGGGAGAGTGAAGAGAAGGGGAGGGATGCGAGAGCGGGGAGGATCCCTGGAAGCAAGAACGCACCCTGCATCTTTTGCCCCGGTCGTCCCTCGCCATAGCGTTACCAATGCCTAAATCAGCACTGGGGGACTTTAGCTGATCCCCTTTCGCCCCCAGACAGAAAGGCAGCTCCCACGCCTAACGCTCCTCCCTGGAGATCCGGCCTCCGGACCCTCCTCTAGGCTCGTTGCTTTAACCTCAGTACAGCGGGGACAGTCGGTGCGCGGGGTTCCAGGGTGGGGACGGCCACCTGGGGCACCTTTCCCGCCCTCCCACGACCCAGCATCATCCTCCCCAACACCACCCCTCCCTCAGTCTAGCCCGGCCCGGGCACCTCAGAACTTTCGCCCGCTGGCCTAGCTTCCACTTGTCCCGGCAGCCGCGCGTGGGGTCCGCGTCCGGTGCTGCCTGTTCCACGGCCCTGCTCCCGCGGTGCCCTGTTTCCTGTTCAACAATATAACCGGCGGAGAGCGCTCGGCAGAACTTCCTCCCAGGCTGGGGTTGGGCTGTGCAGCAAGAGACAATCCCCGGTGTCCTGGCTTCCTGTCCCCTCTGGGCCGGGCCAGCGCTCCAGGAGCACAGACACCACCCTTCCCCCTCCTTCCTTGGGATCCTGGGCCACACCTGGCTGTCTCCGGGGAGGAGGCGGCGGCAGGGCCTTGATGGAGATCTGCGGGGGAGGCAGTTTCTCTCAACTTCTGACCAGATTACCCTCCCACTGACCCTCATCGTCGGAAGGGGGAAAGAGTCCTTGTCCAGTACTCTGCGGGCATCTTGGGAGCCACCTGGCTCTTGGGAAAGCCGCCTTCCCACTCCGAGCAGTGCCTGGGAACATTTCTGACAAGGACAGTCTCCAGCACCAGAGTATCCATTCTCTCTGCCTCCAAGAAGTAAGGGTCCAACTAGGTGCTCCACCCAGGAGCTGCTTAAGGCTCCTGAGCAGAGAAGGGAACCCTCACAGCAGGCCTATGTCTCCCCAGGGCTGAGGATTTGGCTGAACGCACCCACCCCCATATTTTTTGACTCCCCATTTCTTATCTTTGACTGTCAGTCTTGTCCACTAAGGAGCCCACATTGTGCTGGGTAGGCTCCACCAGAGAAGGCACATGGCAGAAGAGGCTGAATGAGCTCTCTCCTTCCACCCTACCTTGTCTTTCCCTAATTGCCCTAGTCCCCGGTCAGCCAGTCAGGTCTCTGGGTGTACAGGGGTCTGATGCCCAACTCTGCCTTAAGCTGGCTCTTAGACACGGGAGTCCAGCTTTTCTGGGTCTCAGTTCCTCCCATTGCCTCACAGTCTTGCGGTGGAAGGATAAACGAGACAGACTAAACAAAATGATGGTGCGTGCACGACCTTTATTATTTGTTGCTACTTTCAGGATAGGAGGCACTTTCTGGGGATGAGAGCTCCAGTCTCCCTGCCCCCTCTAGACAGAGGGGAGGAAAGGGAAACTGTCCCCAGAGGCCTGTGCTGAAGGTGCAAAATTGAGCCAAAGGCCCCCCGGGCAGTGTCAGCTCAAGTGTCAGGCCGCTTTTCTGGGCCTGCCTCCCCCAACCTCCAAATCCAGTTCCTCTTCTCTTACTCTAGGTCTCTGGAGAATCTGGCTCATAGACAGCCAAGGAGCAGCCCGCTCACTGGCTGAAGGTCCTCGAGGTCAGGAAATGTAGCCCTAGATGTTGTCTTTTTCTGTCCCATCTTCCCGCGACCTGGTTTCCCTAGGAATTAGTCTCTTTCCTTCTTTTGTTCTTACACAGGCAGTGGGGGGCTTCTCCTGGAACCTCCGGAGAAGGCCAGCAGCAGAAAGGTCTCTTGAGCCTTTAATCCAGGAGCCAGGGCTTGCCCTTCTTGCTTACCCTCTCTGAATCCCTCTCCACACCCAGATTCCTGAGCTTCTGAGCTTTTACAGGTCAGTGTGTGTGTGTGTGTGTGTGTGTGTGTGTGTGTGTGTGTGAGAGAGAGAGAGAGAGAGAGAGAGAGAGAGAGAGAGAGAGATCGAGAGAGATCTGTGTTCAGGCATTTAAGGCGGAAGAGCGAGCTTCAACCTCCCACTTCCACACAGGGAAACCTAAATTCTGTCACTTACCTCTTGTCCCCTGCTGCTTTGGCTGGCAAGTGTGCTCCACAGACCCTGAAATGCCAGTGCCTAGGATTAAGGGGAGTGGGTCGAATGGCTGGTGTCTGTCCAGCAGCCGCAGAAGTAAGATTCAGAAGCCAGACTTTGATTAGAAAGATGAGCTCTTTACTGCAAAATCAGTCAAATACCACAGAAGCAGCTCCTTCTCTACATTGCCAAGGCCCACTTGTCAGAATATTGCATAAAATAACATCTCTTACACAGTGTGGGCACCGCTGAAGTTCACGTGAGCGAGCTCTTCTGGTGGCAGGGTAAGTGACTCATCTGAGCATATCAGCAGCTCAGGAGAGGTGAGGGCACGCTCTAGCGCTCTAACGTGTACAGTCCAGGCAGGGGAGGGGCTCCGGCTGCCCAGGGTCGGTTCTGGAATACTCTCATGTAACAAGCCCACAGGGGACAGACTCCTGCCCATTCAGGTCCACAGTAAGGAGGCTCTGATCAGGTTGTGGTTTAGGGGAAGTGTTAATGCTGGCTGTGGGGTGCAGCTATGGATACACTGCGTGGTTCTGGAAGCTTTGGTTTCTCAACCACTGGAGAGCGCGGTCTTCCATGATGGGGACAGATTAACTGTGGCAACCTCTACCTGGAACCAATGCCTCCTCTGGTCTATTGCACAATTCTTCAAGCTTTAGGAGGTGACTCAGCTCATTCACCCCCGGGAGGGTGGGGAAACCTCTTCTCTAGAAATGACAGACACATTTCCAGGGAGGCTCACCATTTCACCTGAGGCCTCTGGCTCTGACTTGAGTACTCTGGGATGGCCAGAAGGTCTACGGGGTCCAGGAGAGGTGAAGACAGCTCCCCTAAATGCCTCAAGGCTATGAACATCACCCTGAGAACAATTCTGGAATGCTACACCAGCCCCAGGAGCCTCTTCAGGGCAAGCCTGCTCCTGAGAAGTTCATTGGGTGCTGTAGTGTCCTGCTGAGCAGGCGAATCTGGAGACAAGGGTTGAGGAAGCTTCTACAGTGCAGCTTCTGGACACATCTTCTCTGTTCCACAGGTGGAGCACGGAGCCTCTCCGGTGTCTAGCCTACTCTACCCTGGCAGGGGTTAGCCCTACCATCTACCAGGACTAAGGAGGGTATAGGGATGAGGTGGGCAAGATCACGGTCTTCCTGAACAAGGAAGGCTCAAAGTGCTGACAGTGCTGGTGCTGGTCATTCCCCTTCTCCTGATGCGTTCTCAAGCCACCAAGGAGGCAGGGGCTGTGACAGAGGAAGGGGACACTTTCCAGGTGAGGGCACGAAGACGGAGGGCAGGGTAGTCTGAAACTGACCAGCCTTGCAGTGATGGGTTGTTTGGCACGTAACACTTGCACTTCTGGCAGTATGTACCAGAACGGGCAAAGGAAAGGCGCCCAGTCCACAGAGGCCTGTCCGCCCAGTCCCATGCCTGCCTCTGGGCTGGGACTGCTCTCACCCATCTGCTTGGGCGAATGGTTGCATTTCTTAGGTGGTTTAGGTAGGGTCAAGAATAAAAAAAATATTTTCTGTTTAAATATGAAGGGGGGAAATCAACCTTAAAAAACTAGACCTTTTAATAAGGAATGTGAGTTGAAAGTGCTCACCAGGCCTCATTTCCACAGTGTATGAACAGCCCAATGGAGGTGCCATGAAAGCTAAGTACACCAGGCCGGATGAGAGGCCTTTGCAGAGGCACCGGGTGGGTCCCCACCTCCTGGAGTCGAAGGCTAATGAGGGGCCAGGAGTGTCACTGGGGCTTTCTGGGCCTTCTCAGGAGGCTAGAGCTCTGGGCACACCTGAGAGTGTCCCTTACAGGGAGACAGAGAAGTCTAGGCTACCAAGAAACCCAGTCGGATGGCCTTGGAAGATCAGGACAGCAGGCTTAGCCGACAATTTTCTGTTCCTGGTACTTGCGCCGGCGGGCACAGCGGGGACAGCCCTTCCGCACCACAGCCTGGCAGCTCTGATGGAAGACAGTTCTGCATTCCTCACACCTGAGAAGAGAGCATCCGGGCCTTTGAGTGACAATCCTCTAGACGTGCCAGGCCCAGGCTGGCCAGGGCCTAGACAGAACCCACAGAGAGGCTGTGTTCTGTCTGCGGCCCACACTCACACATACTGCCCTCCAACTCTCTTGGAGAGCACTTCAGACACTGGGCCCATAAGTGATGCACGCCTCTGATACTGCGTGTCTTACTTCATTCTTTGTAATGCTGGAGTGTTTATGTAACTTCTTGCCTACCTTTAAACAGTTCAAACAGCCCAGGTACATTCTGGCACTGGCTGGTTTACCTACTGAAGGTGAGTGGATGATCGCCCCAGTTTAGCCTTCCACTCCTACCTGGGGTAAGGGTAAGAGAAGACTGGGGAGTATACCCCTGTTCAGGGGTTTCTAATGATGCGCAGTACTAAATGGCAAGAATTACCACTGACTGCAGCTGGGGCCATAGAAGGTACCAACTATCAGGTGCCCACTTGGCTAATCCTCAGACTAGTGCTTGAGGGCCAGGGATATACTGTCAACCCCTCAACCCATTTGTAGACTGAGCTCAAAGACATCCCACTTCATGAGGCAGCAACCATCGGGGATGGGCTGTGAGCCCTGGCAGCTCTGGGCAGTCACAATCCGGGGCCATCGACAGAGTGGAGTTTGTGCACAAGAGGATGAGGGTTATCAGGGATGCTGGGTCAGGCTGTGGTTGTGGGGATAGCAGCCCTCGTACCTGACTGTGGTGTCAAACTCAAAGGGAAAGATGATGTCATGGTGGTGGCAGATCTGGCAGATGAAGCCTCGCTGGGTGCACAGGTCACAGTGGTAGACATGCTGGGAGGCGAACTCAATCAGGGCTTTGAGGAATCCTTCATACACCCCCTCTGCAATCTGCAGGGGCAAGTGGAGACCAGTCTTAGGTGGCTCTACTGCATCGCCATAGCACCTGCCTCAGAACTTCCCTAGTTTCACACGGGCAAGAAGAACTCCCTGCATCAGGTTGTTGATGTGGGCATTGGCCTGCACCCGAGGTCACTGGGGTACGGGACCAACAGATAGGATCCCAATTCTTGGAGGAAAGGCCTCTGCTCTTACCCTTGGGATGCTGGAGCCCCTGCTTAGTCCAGGAGGTAGGGGTCAATGACTGCTCAGGAAGTTGGCAAACAGAGGGCCATTCTCAGGGTTGGACTGTTGAAGACTGCTGGCTGGCCTGAGTTTGCCCCCCTGCTATTTCTCTGAGATTTCTTCAGGATTAAGAACCTTCTAGTAAATCCAGGATTTAGGGGTAGGAAGCATGGAATGCTCACCTGCTGGAGGTCAGCAACACTGAATTTGTGAGGAGACTCCAAGAGATAATTCCTGTGGCTTAGCCTGCAAAGGCAACACAAGCACTTCCTCAGAAGGGCTTCCAAGGTTAGTCCTCCAGTTCCTGGTTTCCTTCT